TCAGGACAACTGGTCTGCTCAGTCAGGAATCACATCAATAGTGTCTCAAAAGAAGAGAGGATATATACCTGTGGCGTGGGCGATCATGAGTAGAAAATAGGTGATATTGATCTGTATAACATGGATGAATATGTAATTTAACCATAGTTTAGCCAGGGGGACTCACAGGTAACCGTGGGTGTTCAGTTACTCTTTCAAAGAAGCAACAGCCTACCATAATATAGTGTTGTAGTGTATTTTTTATTGATACTTACATTTTTTTCAGTCGCTGTATCTGAAACCTTTGAACAGTGTAAGGAGACTGGCAGCTTTAGTGTCCCTTAAACCCTTCACTCACATTAACCTTGTTTTAGATTTCTCCAGTCAGCGTATTGACAGTTTAGCAGCTTAGTATGAACATCAAGAAAAGGATTTTCATTTGCTCTGATAGAACAAAGGTTATGCACTGTAACCCTAGTTCTATGATCACAGCTGGAACCCTCTGACATTTTCAACCTGTCACTTCTTTGATTTGATGAAATTGGGATCATGACACCCTTTATAAAGAGGCAGTCCAAGTGGAAAGAATGTTTGTTCTGACTGACTGAACAAACACATGAAAATGATCAGTGCTTTGCTGCCTTTAAAGAGTGCCTGAGGCCCACATATCATCATATTATTATAGAATAAACTGCATGGACAATATTCAATGTTTTATTTGTTCCCTTACTGCTGAATTGAATGGCATCACGATCAAAGACACAATTAGGGCTAAATGTGTTAATTATATCAACTTTAGGTGAGGAAATCTGTTTTTCCTAAAGTAAGATGTAACATAGTAAATAAATTACTGTCATGTTCGCAATGCAATGCATGTTATTTGGAAATTAATTTTCTGTAGATTTTAATGTGTTTTGCTTTGGTACAGCTATACCACAATTGATTTTGACATTTTTAAAAAGTATAAATACATTGTGTATATGGTGTGCAATTGGTAAATTACAGGTATATTCACAAATATATAAAGTGTTCGACTTATAGATACTTGTAGATGATCAAATGATGTAATGATTCAATATTTTATTTTTCACCTGATCAGAATTGAAAAAGGTCTGTTTCAGTTCCATGTTTCATTGACATAAACAAATCTTTTAAAGCATTAAATATTAAAAGATTTAATTTTGTTTCTTTTAATCATAAAATATTAGACAGCCAATTAGTTATGTTTTAAGATTGTAGCTTTAACTGCTGAGTTTTATTTTGGCTTTGAATAAAAGTTCTTGACTCATATTGGTAGGTATGAGCTGTCCCTCTCCTGGTTTATTGAACATTTGCTGATAACTTTAGTCTTAATAAAACAATTTCTGTTGACCAAGCAATGCCATCAGCCATTCAGAATTATGTCTGAATGGCTATTACTGCCTCTAGTGGCTTAATTGAAACAGTGTACCTCTAGATTATGGATGTAAAATATTGGTTCTTTCAAGTCTTTGTATATTTTTATGGCATTTCCTTTCTTCATTTTTTTCAACATTTGCCAGTGGAGTGACACATCATCTAATGAGACATTTGCAAGAGGGAAAGAGAGAGCATGATATGACCACGCTAAATGATACGCTTCAAACAAGCTTTAATTTACTAGGCCATCAGGACACTTCTGAGTGTTTCACAGGGACATTTTGAAGCATTGTTTTTTGTTATCTGTTATCACACAGCATGGGTGCTTTCTTTATGAATGAGAAACTAAACTTATGGTATGAGCAACACAACAAACATATTTTTTTAGGGTGAAGTTTGAAGCAGTCTAGGATTTACAATGCAGTGAAAATAATACATTTACTACTCCAGCTGTAATGGAAACATTACAGTTATAGTGTTAAACTGACTTTGTACATTTTCCCTCATAAGAAGCAGACAGCAGAACAGATGTTGAACTACCTGTTCCCATCTTCAAATCCCAGTTTGACTGGTGAATTAAATAATCTTTATGTATATTGGCATCATTCTAAAGCAATGACAACTTAATTTATTGATGTTGAGGATGGCTTAAGAGAGCTTTAGATTTAAACTTTGTCAGTTAAACACATAGTAAGAAACAATGGTTTAGCTGTGTAGTCTATTAGTATAAAGACACAATTTGACTCAATAAACATAAAAAAAGAAGAACAACAGAACAGTAAAAATTAGAGAAATGAAAGAGCAGAGGCAGTGAGGAAGTATTATAATTAAAAACTTGGTGGAGGAATTGTGTGGTTTATCTCAAGTAGTCAACACGTTGACTTTACTTCCTCCCCCCATCTCTATCTTTAAAATGTGTACATGAATGCAACAGCACATTGCCTTCTCAGAGTGTTCACAGCTTCTCCTAATCAGTAACAGGGCATGTTTCAGACATGGAAACTGTGTTTGGACGATTGGTGATCGGATTTGGTACTGAGTGACTAAGATGTTTTGTGTTAAACAATCATTATTGGGGATATTATGCAGTCACAAGATCAATTATTGTCATTCCTTGCTGATGTGTAATGCAGCTCACATCCTGTTCCAAGGTACTGATGAACTATTAACCTAAACAAATTAATTAAACTGTTTCTATGTAGCTATCACATAATTACCAAGCACAAGCTTAAAAAACAACAATGGCCATACGCTGAGAATGTGCCCACCCTTTTCATTCAGAGTACAAGCTGTTACCATCTTGAGTTCCTCGATTGCCACAAGAAACAGGTACAAGAATTATTTCATCCCCGTCTTCATTCAAGCCCTGAATGCTAATGTCAGGAGGAGGTAGCAGCTGGTGTCAATAAGTCCACTACCTTACTGGGAATGCCGATGGGGATGGTGGTGGTGATGATGTTACTGATGATGCTGATTTGGGGATGGTGACAATTATGCTTTTTCTTTTTTTACGTATATATTTTATGTTGTTGAGGTGCAGTATATTTATATCTTTATTTATGTAGTGTGAGTCATGTTGTGTTGTTGGTGATGTATATTACATTGTGAATGGGTATGTAGCTTGGTGATGTTAACAATATTCACTGCTCATTATACTATTCACAGGCCCTGCAGGGTTTCAGTGGACTATAACCTGCTTCCCTCTTAAGTGACTTATATGATTTAATGCTCATGCTGATTGTTGTTTGTTTCTGTTGCTGTATTGTGTGTTTTTATACCTGACGCAGCACAAACTGCCCATTTGGGAAAAATAATGAAATAATTACATTGAATTGAATTGATAGACAGCGGATAAACAAAGAGGAACAAGTTAGTTAGTTAACATTAACTGTGCTTCCTCTTTTTCCTTTAACTTTGCTATTTCTACAACACCCACTAAGAGAAGACGTTTCCGGCTGCTCTGTGTCGGATGTGCATGGCATGTTGTTATTGAATATAAAGTAAGAGAGGTTTGTCTGAAGCTGCCTGAATGAATCAAACGAAGGCTGAACACTGAGGAGACATGGAAGGCCTTGATTGGACTGTTCTGATGATACTCGGAGTCTCTAATGGTGAGAATGTTTAAAGTTTTTTAATTTGACGCGGCATTTTTATGAAGCTGTTTGTATAAGGTTTACGAAAAAATACAGTTTGACAATCATCTTAAGTTGAATCGTGACACATACACTAATCAGCCATACAATCTCCAAAACTGGCAGCTCCTTGTGGGGTGTTCCCGGTCTGCAGTGGTCAGTATCTAATCAAAGGTGGTCCAAGGGAAGGGAAAGGCGGTTTATGGGTGGCGCAAAGGCCTCATTAATTGTAGGCGTGGGGAGTGCAAGGCCTGGCCTGTTACGTACCTGATCCAAACAGACGACCAGTTTTTTTTGTAGTTCAAGACCGCTTGAAAAAGTTAT